TAAGAAAAGTGAACTTAAATAAGCAAAAAAAATTTCATAGTTAAGCCTATCCAAAATTTTATAAGATTATAATTTAGGAACATTTCTTTCATATTAGTTGAAATCGATGTTCCACCAACTTTCATTAGAGACGATTTTGATGATAATAGTATTTAGTACAAAGTTACTATATTAAGTTTTTGCCATTTAAAATGTAATAATTAATATAAAAATGATGTTTTTTGAAACCTCAAACTTCATGTGAGCAAGGTATTGTCGTGAGTAATGACTAGTGCGATGGGTTGCGTGAAGCATTACACGTCTTATTCAATAATTTAAGAATAAATTTAGTACAGTATATAGTTGTTAGACGAAACCCTTTTTAAAAAATGGCGAAAGGCGAAACCTACCTCTTGAAAAATGAAACTGACGAAACTTTTGCGAAATACGAAACCTTGACGAAAAACGAAACCCCTGACGAAAATGAAATCTGGCAAAAGACAGAGTCTCTACAAGAACAAAGCCCTGGTAAGTGTTCTAGTGCTGTGCTATAGTTTGCAGGCTATGTCATTATTCTTTTTTAACGCCTTAAATTTTATGCGTACAATATTGTGACTATGTAAGAACTTAATGAAAGAATTGCATAATTTACTGAAGAAATTATTTTTGTAAAATGACGAAAGATAAAACATAATCCAAAAAGACAAACCTACTGCGAAAGGTGAAGCCTCTAAGCCTCCCTGCGACATCCAAAAACAAGCTTCCCGTGAAAAGTGAAATGTCATATAATTTAGATGCGAGGTCATTATTTTTGAATAATACTTGATTAACATAAAATAAAGCTATTCATTATACCTCACATTATGCGTGTAGAGTGGCTGTTAAATTTAACAGTTCCGGAATGCAATTTCGTATTTTGCAAATAATTTTCATAGTTATGTGATAAATCTGAAATCATTCATGTATAGATTTGCTATTTATCACCACTGGTGATCATCACCTGTTTACAATATCTCAAAAAAAAACAGGGGTCAGATATATTAAGTAAAAATGTTCAGAATCCTGAAAACCTTGTATAACCTAAAATTTGGACCATGTTAGCTAACCTATCCTCGGTTATAAAATTGCACCCTAACTCTAAAATTATGTGGTGATAAAAACTACTTTAGTGTTTAGAGTGTAGTATCCATGTTTCGGGAGCCATTTCACCTTTTGCAATGTACGTCGTTATACCTATTATGTGATTTATTAAATTTCCTCTATTTTTGTACTACGAAATCAGTAAGCCACGTCGGCTGGGGAATTTCGAAATGATCAATCAGCGGGAAAAGTCAGTAACCAACGGACAGAGTCATTAACCAACAGATAGCCAACGGATAGAGTAAGTTACTACCGGGAAAAGTCTCGATCAAACAAAGCAAGCTATATAAATTATGTTTCACTGGTGCTTTTTGAAGGATGAGTCGAATAACAAAATAGGATGACTTTTTTTTAACTGCGTTAAAAAATTTTTACAGATTGTTACCGAGAAAAGTTTGCTATAAATCTGATTAAATAACTAAATGCATTTATACAGTAATGTTAAAAAAATAATTTTATAAAGTGTTAAAGAAAAAATTTCAAAACAGTTATAAAAAAGGTAAATTAAATGAAAGTAAGCCTAGCTAACATATGCATACTTTTCATTAGCACAAAACTAAAATAAAGATTCTTAATGAAACTGTGTATTCTATTACAAATGAGTGCAAAAACAAACATACACTTAGATAGGTAATATTTGACATTTATAAAAATATTCAATATTTATGCAAAATTTATAAATAAATGATTTTTTTTTTATAGAGATTCATTTCTTCAGTTTCTCCTTCAATCTTTTTGCCTTCTCATTGTGATCAGTCATTACTAGAAATCCATTTCCTGCTGCACGAGGGCCAGCTGTTCCTAGAGTAAACACAGCTTTAAAGATATTTCCACCCTTCGCTTTTTCACAGCTTTATCTGCCGATTTTGCTGCTGAATGAGTCCCCTTTTCACAAGCATCTATTGATTTTTCTAAAAGTTTTTTCAAGTTACTACCACAAATTGTGCCCCTTTAGATATCGCATCTTCATATAACGCTTCAACAGATTCTCGCTCAATCGGCCAAGTTGCAACCTGATTGCGGCCACATTTTTTCGCTCTTTTTGAGTCAATGTCTGCATAAGTAGTTAATGACTTGCAACATAACCTCGAATTTCTTCAGCAAATTCACGTGCTGATTCCTTATCCATATCTCTATGTAGAATAATAAGTTCATCTCCACAGCATCGTGCAAAAATAATTTTGTCTTTGTGCTTTATAAATTTGTTAATAATTTAATTTCGGTAACTCTTCTAAAATGAAATCACCTATTGCATGATTTTCATTGGTGGTCAATATCAAAAAATAGCAGACTCAAATTCTGTATTCTTCTATTACCTTTTGATTTCCTTCACCGATTCATTTTTAATTCCATTTATGCGAGCGTCGTAATACACCATCAGTACTAAAGTTTGAGGTATTCACTAAATCAATCTCTTAAATAAATAGTGAAATTTATTATGTCATGAAATTTAGCCTTGTAGACCAATCTAACATTGTGCGTGCAGGGCTTAATTACAAAGTAGTGTTTTGAATAATTGCAAATATATCGATGCGCATAAATTTAAACATATATGCCTGAATTTTATGTATATATCGTTTTAATATTTGGAGACAGTAACTAGAAAACTTAGAATCACAATTCTTTACAGAAACATAGTAACACATTGCTGCATTGTAGAAATGCTGAACTTATCATTTTCAATTGCTTATTCTAAAAAATTTCAGCAGTATATGCACAAATAATTAATCGCATAGGATTTTTATTCAAATACATAATTAAAGATTTTAAATTTCTTTCAGGTCAAATAATTTA